GCTTCTCCCGGTCCATTCCTCTCTTCACTATCGAAGATTGGATGTGTTCACGGACCGGGTGAAGCGACGAGCGCTGACCTTTAGCTCTAACAGGTTAGTTCCCTATATGAAATTACTATCGAAGATTGGATGTGTTCACGGACCGGGTGAAGCGACGAGCGCTGACCTTTAGCTCTAACAAATCCAATCAAATACAATCAACATCCAAGAATCAGATCACTCAAGAATCAAAATCTCAAAACACACTCACCTTCAAAATCTTACTTAAAACTCCCATAAACTCAATACATATATATTTATAACAAATAAATCCTACACCAAATCCAAAGGATGCAAATAAGAACCGAGATGACCGAATCTTTCTCACACTAAAATATTTCTACATCCTTATTTAATTCTCATCATCAGCTCCCAGGATTTACATATTGATCGCCGGGGTAAAGTGGGGGAATATCCAGGTCAAGCCGTCACCCGGCGACTATCCGGCGACGTCTAGCCATTCCGAGCACCGAGCCGACGGATATTTCCAATATCCGGACTCGTCGGAGAATACCCGTCCGGGGTTTTTTTTTTAAAAAAAACGACCCGATAGCCGAGCCGACTATCCGCCGGATATCCGGCGTTCCGGTCAAAAAGACCTCCTTAGCTGGGAATGGAACCCAAAATCGGGGCGTCCCGGGTAGTTTTTTGGCTGTCCCGGGACCCATTTTGGTCTTCATTCTTTTTTGATCTTCTCAAGACTTGTCACTCAGACCTTATTGATATTTTTAGTTTTTTTTTTGGTAATTCAACATGTTTTGTACAGATTTTTAATATTTTTTAACTACAATGATCTGAAATACACGCCGGCCTATTAATCAGATATCCGCCGGATATCCGGCTGGAATCGATTTTTTTTGCCCCTACATCCGACTACTGGACCAACAGGTCTATCCGGCCTCCGGATAGTTCCAAGGTCTCATGTGTCACCCGGATTCGACGGTTGATCCGATGGATATCCGTCGGATTTTGGGTCCGGGTGACGGCTTGATATTCAGGGATGACAACTTTAGAGGTCGGGGCCGGGGTTGGACAGCGGTACAGTGAAATTCTAGTATAAGCATACACTACACAAGCATAATTCTCTATAGGCATGAAACCCCATCCAACCATTTTGGGTTGGTGATAATTTTGCAAATATGTATTGTACAGCTATTCACGAAATTCGTGTCCTGTTCGCACTTTTTTTTTCTTTTTTCCCCCCCAAATACAGCTGACGCGCAGCGCAGCAAGCCTGTATCACACCGTGGATTTGGTCAACCCCGAACAGCCCGAACCCCGGGATCTCCTGAGATACATCCTCCCTCCGATTTGGTGCTTGCCACGTCGATAATTTTCACACCAACTCCGCATGCCGAGTGATCACGATTGATTGCTGTTCACTCTCACTATTGACTCATCAACTTATCAACCTCAATTCACAATATATGAATCTGTAAGTTTACATCTCTCTCATCTCTTCAAAATGTTATATGAATAAATAACTGAGATTCCGAGTCTCCTTTTTTTTATACAGTATAGATGGATGTCAAAAGCTAAAGCAGAATCTACAGGACTTGAAATCAAATGTGAAGGTAAAGAGTTAATTAAAGATGAATCACCACCATGGAAAGAAATAGCGATCAAGATATATCCATTAGTAAGTGATTATAAATTTCCTTGAAAAACTGATATCATCATTTCAAATTCTGATTTCTATGCGTTTGTAAACCTTTTTTCTTTGAAGTTTTAGTCACTGGTTTACTTCCCTTACAACTCTGGAGCCAAACACATAATTAGTTATTCAATCGTATCCAATCATTCTTTTTACTTGTTTAGTCGATGTGATATGCAATCAATTCAATTTCACACTTGTTTAGAAAAGGCCAATCATCCCGTCTTCGAATTTGATGAGTACAACATTGCTCGCGCCATCAGATCCGTAAACATGTTTTTGCAAGCAAAATGGCTCCTTTTGAACGCCTCGGAGATCTAAAGCTTCAGCGGTCTCTGGACTCAGGATAGCATGAGATGAACCAAGGTTATTCATCTGAGAGATCCTTGGATGTTTAGACTGGAATTCATGGTGCAGAGACCAAAGCCAGTAACTGCTGCAAGTCGAAGTTGTCACAAGAAATCGATTTTTTGATGTTTAAGATGTGTATCGTCCATATGTCTTTCATATATCTCCCCTCAAGTCATGTTTTGCAAATCCACCCAAGTGATGATTTGACCAGGTTGTTAATTCTACCAAAGAATTATGAAGTGTTTGAAGCAGTATTAGGAAAATGAGATTGAAGGCGTGAATTGATGAGAAAAAGATACAGCATAATATTGATCATAAATTTTTCAAGAACTTGATAACACAAAAATCAACTATGAAAAGTCTTTCGAAAGGCTACATTGTTCAAATGTAAAGAATCCATTTAAGAAACCAATCACTCATCACCTCAAAACATTTAGATATCTAGGTATTCAAGTTTGGTTGATCTGTCATCAATTCCACACTGAACTCCTTGGTTCAGGATGGCTCCAAATACTGAAGAGTGAGCCTATAGAATATCAATCAAGTAATCAGAATGCGTCAGGAAAGCATTTGATAGCACCACCATTATCATTTTGATAATTTGATCGATCAGATTGATTTTGGTTTGATTAGATTGGATCACTACTTATTTTTTTGGTTCCGAATGGATGTGCTTTAAGTGACATGAACCAGTGACTATATTCTTCCATAACCTCAAAGAAAAAAGATTACAAACACATCAGAACCAGAATTCAGACCGATGATAATAGCTTTTCAAGGAAGTTTATATCCACTTACTAACTTGATTCCCAGTTTGTGATTCGTATGTGAATTGAAGGAGAGTGGAGTAGATAAGTTGGTAGGGATCGATCATGATCACGGATTGGGTGTGAAAATTCGCAACGTGGCGAGCACAGAATCAGAGGGAGGAAGAGGGAGGAAGTGGCCCGCGGGGTTTGGGGTTGACCAAATCCACGGTGTGATACAGGTTTGCTGCGCTGCGCGTCAGCTGTATTTGGGGGGGGGAAAAAGAAAAAAAAAGTGCGAACAGGACACGAATTTCGTGAATAGCTGTAAATTATAACTCACTTTATAAACCTTACAAGCACCTCTAGATCAGGTACTTGTAGAGGTACTTACAAGGTCTAAGATATAGGCTGATAACAAGACCCAGTTAATCCTTGCCAAAGCCCATTAACCTGGGAGGTATGAATTTTGGAAAAAAGAAATGTATGAAATGGTAGTGAAACATGTATGGATTTATTTATTTTTTTTGAAAAAAAAAGTGTGGTTGCATGTGGATGTATGAATTTCATAAAGTCCAAGATCTATGAAATTATGACACAGATGTGCATAAGTGTATGAATTTGATTATGTAGATTTTGTTTTTGTTTTGTGTAAGATGTCTGAGAAGATCTTTAATTAACTCCTTCAAACCTTTATCCTTTTCCAACTTCAAGGAGACTGATACTGATTCATTTAATTTTAGAGATCCCACACATCTGCTTTGTGTTTCCAAAAAAAGAAATGAAGTTACTATGAGCATCCCGCTCTGTCACATTGCACCTGGCTAGCACAGAGGGAATGAAAGATGCTGCAAGAAATGAATTGGTCAGCTTATAAGTAAGGCCAATCAAAGCAAATGATGATGAAGTTTAGTTACATGGTTTTGTAACTAAACCATAAATCTAATAGTACAATGTATATCATATATGAGCACTGTCATTTCTGATGATTTGTTCCTATTGACCTGTTTGCCTTAAAGCTCAAATATCATTTTTTTGCATCTTTTCCACCAAAAATAAATGAAGTTTGATTTTCCCTTCAAACTACCAAAAACATGGTTCAAACCTGGAGGTCTAGAAGGTATGAAACCTAAATTTTGGTTGACCACACCACCAGAATCAATCAAAACATACGGGAGAAAGACGTCTGACACTGGTAATTTTTGCAAAAGTCATGGATTTTTTGCGGGTTATGAACTAGAACAAAATCAGTGATTTTAGGCGACCCCCTACCTAGGACAATTCCGGGGTCCTTTGATGCCTTTAAGTTTGATTTTAAGAAGGTTGCCTTTTTTTCTGAGTTAAAATAAGAAGCCCTATTTTCTTGCTCAAAGGGCTTCTTGTTCTTGGCTTCTCACTGGTCAATTTTTTTCACTTTCTCTGCTGTTGAATTCACAACAATGGATATAATGTACATATTTTAATCTCGTGTATCTCAGAGTTTCATTTCTTTTCTTATAAGACAAACTGAACTTATATTAAGGAGGCTCAAGTTCAAACTTTTTAGGACTTTTGTCATAAAAAGTTGATCTGATTTCATAAATTTTACAACAAAAGATCAATTTTTTATGAATGTTCTAGGTGCCTAAAGGTACCTGTATCATTCTGTAAAAATATGGGATGAGTAAAGCTGTGGTAGACCCGGTACACCACAAAAAGTTGTGTACTGGGGTAATGAAATTAACTCCCCCACAGATAACTTGTAACCGCACTTTGGTTTTTATTTTTCTTACAATTAAAACAATTAAAATCAAAAATTGTAACATCAGATTTGAATCCTGTTAAACAGCCATTTCCTTACCCATCCTGTTTTCTTTATCAAATATGTGACGAGAAAAAACAATTCATGAGCAACTTTAAATCAAACTTTATTGGTTTTTTCTTTTATTTTTATCGCAACAACATCATACATACATGCACACCATGTCACAAGAAGAATGCAAAACTATTTCAACAGTTTTTTTTCAGTAAGTTTATTATAACGGTTGATCTTTGTAATTTTTTAGTATGATTGTAAAGAATCCAAGAGAAGTAAAAACACACAAAAAAGTGAAAAAGATCTCAAGTAATGATCCCCAAGACCTTATTCATCAAGCTAAACCCCCATAAAATTGACGAACAAAAACCCCGCATTCAAATCCAAACCAAGAAAAGAAAAGAAAACAAGAATTTTAATTAAGTTCAGCATCATAACCAGGAAAATCATGTTGAAGTCCAGCATTAAGTGCAGGTAAACCCAAGACTTTCAATAATAATGAAAACGTAACTCTTTCCCATCTAGAA